TGGGAGAAACAGAGAGTCCCAAGAATCTGATCTGCTGTGAGAACTGCTAACACGAAATTGACTCAACATTCATGTTTTTGCTTAAGTCCGTCAGGCCATTTTCACTTCGGAAGAAGCTAGCTTAGTCACTCACTGAAGTCCATCAGTGAGACTCGAAGTCTCAAAGGAGAGCTTGCCTAATCTGTCCTTTTAAATTAGTTAGAAAGTGTACAAAAAGTAAGGTGACAAAGAGCCACATAACCGGATCGTTCTGAGAAGCTTCGTGTTGGTAGAAAAGTTCGAGAAGAACTATTCCCACCAATTCAGAAGGAATCTAATCAAGATTCTTACATTGAAAGCAACAGAGAGTCCCAAGAAGCTGATCTGCTGCGGGAACTCCTAACACCAAATCAACTCAACATTCATGTTTTTGGTTAAGTCAGCGAGGTCATTTTTACAATAATAGCTGTGACGAAGTTGAACTACCCTGAATTAGATTTTTTTAATCCAAACCCAGACTACATTCAGAGGATTGATAGAAACTTCGCTTTGAATGGCTTGGATGCTTATAAAGTCCTATATTTGATCATGCATTAAAAAAGTTATTCTGTCATCTTTAATTTGTTTTTTTTACGTCTCCCTTTTGATCGTATAATGGGACTGCCTTCGGCAGTTCCATAAATTCCAAAAGTTACCTTTCGCTGTTTTAGAAGAAAAAAAAACCTAAAAATATTCGTTAAAAGTTATATATTAAAAAAAACATACATTAAAAATTAGATCCACTCTGGGCATAACCTAAATTATTGTTAGATGTTTGGTGGAAATATATTTTTTTTTTTTTGAAATTATAAATATTATTATTAATAGAACATAAAGTTTTATTTTCAAATGAAAATATTAAAAAAATGGGGAACACTAAAGCTGTTTGATTTCTATATTTTCTTTTCTTTTTTTTGTTTCAAATAACAAATCACATGCGTAGCTTTTATCTCGTTTAAGCGTTTTAACTAAAAATGTATTTTTATTTGGGATACTTTTCAACTACAGTAGCTACGGTTGGAGTGGTTTTTATTTTCGGGGATTACTCTGGCATCATTTTATTCATCACACGCACATACAAAATAATAATAATGATAATATATGATTGTACATAACACATTTTTTTATTTATTTCTTTTCCAAAGGGGGGTAGTATTTCAACTTTAAATTTCTTTTGGTTTTTAGAAATTACCTAATTTTTCTTTAAATACTAGCAATTTTTTATTTTATTTCTTCCTTTGTATATATAATTGTGTAAAGCGAACACCTACTAGTTTTGTTTTTTTTTAATTCAGTTTCGTATTAAGTTTTTTGCTTTTTTTGCATTTAATATTTATTGTCGCCTAGTAAATAGGGGGTGTTTTTTGTTATCAGTATATATATATAATACCTATAAATATATGTATATATAATATGTATATATATGTATAATATATATGATTATGTTATGTGTATATAGTTTCATTTTTTTAGTTTAAGTTTTAATTATTGTTTTTTTATTTCAGTTTAAGTTTTGAGTTTTTTATATCATTATGTTTTTTATATATTATAATATTATATATGTAAATATAAATTCATGTATACAACACTTCATTTTCGAAATTATAAAGCTACAATAGTTTTTTTGAGTTGAATACGACGAGACCAACAACAGCGATATTATAGGGATGAACAGTTCACCCATGGTAGAAGAATATAGGTAGACGCATCGACACAGCTGCTGGGACAATGAACTTTAAAACCCAATTTTGGAATTGAAAATGTTGAATGAAAAACTATTTCAAAAACTAGAAAAAAATTGAAAAACGCGTATTATAATAACCTCCGAATGAAGTCGTATAAGAAAAAAATATAAAAATCTGCTTAGATTTGAAAAGACATTTACAATTTTTTGACATATCAATGTTGCCAAGCGTTGATGCATCTACCTGTATTCTTCTACCATAAGATCACCCCTATCCTATAAGTATTGTTGTTTTGTGCATGATTAGCGAAATATGTGAACGTAAATAGAACATAAATGCCAAGAAATGGAAATTAACTAAATGACAATTTCAATAAGGAATGTTGATGTTTTTAACTACGATAGGTGGTATCCTTTTGTGGCAATACATTTGAAGAAGGGATATAAGTTTTTTTTTGTAATAGAAAAAATGTACAAAATTAGGACAATTTTAATTTTTTGGTTTTCTCAAGAATGTTGGAGGCTTCTCCCCATGTATTGCCACATGGAATTTATAGGCCTTTATGAAAGTTTTATTCTAAATCTAGATTTGGTTTTGTATAAGCTCAGCTCACATAGTTTTAATAGCAATCTAAACACGTTTTTTGTATTTATCCTAATTAGTGATGTTATGCGTGATGTTTTGGCAAAAAAAAATACTTAAAAACTTGACAGCTGTTGTCGAGGTCTTTTATAAACTAGAAATCGCCAAAATTTAGGATATATAACAATAAATTTAACAAAGGAATAATGAAAAACCCGTAAAGAAAGACTAAAAGTCGGGCAGGGCCGACTAAATGCAAAATAAAATGATGTTTAAAGTAAACTTAAAAAAAAAAAAAAAACAGATCGATTTAAGAACGATTTGTAATATAATGTAGAATGTATCATCAAAATGATGTCTTAAAAATTAGTACCATTTTTCTTTGTTCATAATTTTTTTTAAACATATAATAGTTTCACTACATTCTTTTTTTTTTCTTTTTTAATTATAACAGAGCGTTTTTGTTTAATGTTAAGTGATGTATGTATGTAGATAGATGTATACAAATCACTCATCTTATTTTTGTTTTCTTTATTGATTTTGTGTGTTAATTGTTTATTTAAAGCTGAAACCCACGCATTTTTATTGTTTTCTTATTGTATTCTTTAATCATAATTTTTATATGTAAAACATATTATGTAATTACTATTAATCATTATAATCATTTTGTTTTTTAATATTTTAATATTTAATTAATTTCTTTTTTATTTCAGGTGTCATGTTTAAATTGGCTACCAGCGGTTTTATAACTTTTCACAATTTTGATTTAAAAACTCAAGTTATAATTCTTTTATTTTTCAATGTTACTATTAAATTTTGCAACATTTTAAGCCTATCGAATGAAAACAATAGAGGATCCCAAAATGTCCTAACAATAACAAAAATGTTGTTGTTTTTTTTATTGTTGACCTGTTTTATATGAATTCTTAATAACTTTATTTTGGCTTGAGGTCTATTGAAACATTAGTGTTTTATTTATATAATTTTGATTTTAATCAGTCGAAATACTGGAAAAGAAAAATAAAAATTATGTAAATAAAACACTGATGTTTCAATTGACCTGAAGCCAAAAAAGAATGTTATTAAGAATTCAATAACAGAAAATGTGTTCTTCAAAGAAAGAAACTGAGATAAAAAATTAAACAGGTATTTGGGCTTCAAAAAACCACAGTCCTAGTAATCTAAGAAAGTTTCTCGAATTTCATGAACCATTAAAAACAGTAAATTTGACGCATTATTTCAGACCTCCGGAACAACAATTTCCAATAGGAAAACATTTATAAAAAACGTCAAGTAAGTCCACATTTTTTTATGGTCTACAATTAAATACTCTTATCTAAGATTTTTTTGATAATCTCAGATTGGATGGGTAAATCGTATGCTGCAGTGAATTTCATAATCAAATCAATATATTAGTTTAGGACAAGATGGTTAGACCTTGTTCAAGAAAAACAATAGTCTTTCTAGGGGGACGATTATAAAAAATCTGTGGAGTTTCTTATACAAAATCAGCAGATTTTTTCGGGAGTGTGTAGACCTTGTAAAAACCAATCGTAATATATATTTTGAGAAAACTTATTTTATTGAAAACAAGTTAAAAAGTAGCAGTCGTTTTTGCCGACTGATGCATACCCTTAGCCAGTTGTAAAGAATCGCTGACTTGTTTCGCAAGTTATGACAGATAAAATTATTGGAAATTGTGGCCCTTTGTGGGTGAGGTACCAGAAGGGGTTTGGCAGATGTATATCATCTTCACAACATATCTCTTAAGATGGAACAAAGTAAATTATTTTCTTCGAAAAATGTTGATATTTTGTGGGGGAAGTATCAGAGGGAGTGCTCATCTCCGAATTCGATCTAAGTTTGACGATAACATTACGATGTACCAAGTTTGGAGCAAATCGGATACTCCCTTCAAAAGTTATCATGCACACCAGCCAGCTAGAAACGGCTGAAACGGATTTGGTCCAAAGAGACCCAGGGTTTTTAACCATTATTTCCATGAGGTACGTTTTGGCCGCATCAAATGATGTATACCCTCTCTAGCCATGTGACTGAGGGTATAATCTTTTATAATATTTTGAAAATGAACATTCCTATAAAATATTCCAATAACGACGGTTTGTAAACTAAACAAATTTAAGTAAGGTCCATCGTGGATTATCAATTACAGAACAGGTTCCTCTGAATAAACTAAAATACCAAAAAAGTCCCAAAGATCTTTTCATGAAATGTATAAATAGTTATTCTTAATCAGTTAATTGCAGCAGTTCTTTAAGAGAAGAGAGAGGAATTAACCTTACGCAGCTAAGAGGGAACTTCTTTGCAATTAATGGTTGCCTACGGGAAAAAACAAAAAAAAAAAAAAAAAAAATACAAAATGGCCAGAAACTACCATAAAATTGTCTATTTTTGGGCGTTACCCTTACAACTTCGGTGTCCAAAGGTTGGAATGTAAATATTTCTCAATTTGAGTAATAAGTCGATTTTTCAAAACTTATAATTATTTATACCAGGCGAAAACCTGAACTTGCCGACCTGAAATTGTTTTTTCTCCATGACCCTAAAAATGTTACAAAATATAATAATTGCTATAAAAAATATATATAAAAAATATTTTAAAATGTTCTAAACATATACATAACACTTTCTTTCAATCAAATTCTGTGGGAATTATGCATATTCAATTTAACCTTATATTACCAATTTTGTTCTAAGTTATAAAACCGTGTCTCCAATTTAAACAAGCCTCTGTATAAATATTGTCTAATTTCCTTAAATTTAATTCCATTTGTGGTTAATTTACCTGACAAATTATACAAAAAAGGATATTCCTGTCAAAAAAGTAAAGCAATAACATTGACATTTATTTTTGCAGTTTTGTTATTTTAATAATTTGTATTACTACTTTTAATTCTATTATATATTTATATATTTATGTTACCATGTATGGTATATTTTTTGGTAATATATTTAGGGAACTTGTCCTTACACCTTTTTAGCTAATATGTTTTATTTTATAGACATTATTAAACAATTATTTCTTTTCTTTCTTTGAGTTAATTTTCCATATTGTCATCAAGTTTTATCTTTTTTTTTTAATATTTAATATTATTCATATATATTATTGTCTTATTTTTTCACAATTTCATCTATGCATGTAAATAGTATTGTCATATAGTTCCTTATATTTTATTACATTCTTTTTCACATCATTTTTTATTTTTATAATATATATTTTAGAGCTTATCTTAGAGACTTTTGTTTCGTTACTTCTTTTTTTTTAACTTATAAAAATAGTATTCATATGTATTTATTGTCTAGCACATTTTGAGTGTATGTGTGTATATGTCGTCATAATAAATATTGAGTATATGTATATTATATCTAAATTTAATAAGCTTTTATTGTAGGATAGCACATTTATCATATTTAGTAGTTGGCTTATTTTTTTTTTCTTTCTTTTTGTCATCTTAACATTTTTTCTTAGAACTCTTTGGAGTCTATGCTCTATAACATAAATCATTTCATATATATTTTTGGTTTTATTTTAAACTATAATTTCGTATATAATACATTTATTGTCTTCTTACTTCGTTAGTATTATTTTTTCATATTACAAAATTGTTTGTTTTTTTTTTTATATATATATGTCTGCAAAGGATATGCTGTGTTTTAGGTTTGTAGTGTGAATATGCCAAGTGTGTTTTTTTTTTGTTTTATTTTTAAATAATTTAATAGTTCTTCAGGAATTTAGTTTCGTAAAAAATTGACCCAAAATATGTTTGTTTTGTTTGTTGTAAAAAAATTGACAATATCGTGTTTCTCTTGCGGTTTCTATATAATTATTGAAAAAAACAAAATATTTTTCTATTTATTTCCATTAACCAGTAGCAAAAATATATTAGTTTTTAATATTTTTAATTTTTAGTTATTTTTTTAAGTATTTGTTGCCTTCACTTCTCGGATTTTAACCCCTTATCCCCATTGACTTCTCTCTTGACTATCATAATAATCAATATCCATGGGACTGCGATGCACCTTGGGTGTTTGTCGACTTTTCAGCGACACCGTTGCCAAATTCGACAAAATATCTGGACCACCAGGATGTGCATCATATTTTGAAAAGGGTTCATCACGTGAATATTTCAATATCTGTTCATTTATCCAGGGTACGTATTTTATGACATTTGCATAGACTCCGGGTAATTTGGGATGGGCACACATAATGCCCCACGACACAATGCCACCAACAAACCAACGATCCTTTTCACCGGGATATGGACAGAGCAGGGGACCACCAGAATCGCCCTTAAAATAAATAAAAATATAATAACAATAAAAAAATTAATAACAAAATAATCAAATATAGATATTATATTATTAAAAATAAATAATATGTAAAAATAAATAATATAATATATTAAGTTTGTCATTCCGTTTGTAACACCTCGTAACATACATTTTAGACTAGACAGTGTATATATATTCTTTATCCGTCCGTCTGTGGAAATCACTCTAGCTTCCGGACGAAATGAAGTAGGTTGATAAAATTGTACTCAAATGTATATTATATCTGCAGGACTTTTGGTATTGAAAATGGATCATGTAGGTCCACGTTTTGGTATAGCCCCCATATAATGTTACCTCCGTATTTTCGGTATTTTGGCGATTTTAACGACATTTTTCACCGGAAATGTTTCAAATTTAGTATTTGAAGTTCGTAATAGATACTACAACCTAGGACAGAAAAATGTATGTGCAGGTCCACGTCTTCGTATAGCCCTCATATAACGGTACCTCCTGATATTCGGAATTTTGATAATTTTAGCGACATTATTCACCGGAATTGTTTCAAATTTGGCATTTGAACTTCGTAATGAATCTTACAGCCTATAAAAGAAAATTGTCCGTGCTGGTCCACGTCCTCGTATAGACCTCACATAACGGTACTCCCCGATATTCGATATTTTAATGATTTAAGTGACATTATTCACCGGAATTGTTTCAAATTTGGTGTTTGAAGTTCGTAATAGATACTACAGTCTATGATAGAAAATTGTCTATGCTGGTCCACGTCTCCGTATTGACCTCATATAGCGGTACATCCCGATATTCGGAACTTTGATGATTTTAGCGACATTATTAACCGGAATTGTTTTAAATTTGGCACTTGAAGTTCTTTATGGATACTACAGCTTAGGACAAAAAATTGTCTGTGCATGTCAACGTCTTCGTATAGCCCCAAATATCAGTACCTCCCGATATTCGGTATTTTGATAATTTTAGCGATATAAATTAGTATATTTGGTATATTTGGTAGGAGGAGGTACTTTAACCACAAATGGTTGTCATTTACAGCTTACCTGACATGCATCCTTGCCACCCTCCTCATAGCCAGCACAAATCATGCCATCGGACACAGTTAAATTATCCAGCCATTCGTCACACTGGGTTCTACGGATAATGGGAACTTGGACTTCATTGACAATGGGTTCATATGTTGCAGAAGCTGAAATAAATAAATAATAAATTATACAAATATATTCAGGACCCACAGCTCAATTAAATTAAAAGGGTTTTGAACGATTGAAAAAATTTGGAAATTTTCTCGGAAAAATACTTACGATCTTTATCACGTCTCTTGCCCCAACCAATAACCGTGCACATTGAGTCGGGTTTCAATTGCTTCATATTGGGCGGAGGTAAACAAACTGGCAGTAGATGCTCGTGAAAAGATACACGTTTGGCAAGCTAGAAAGTGTTTGAGAACAGAACAAGGATTAACTTCCCTGATGGATATCGTAATATATTTGTCATTTACCTGGAACAATGCAATATCGTTGTCATGTGTTATCGCTGTATTATATAGGGGATGGGGTATAACTGTCTTCACTTTAACCTCTTGACTCGAATAGGTATAGGAATTGCGTCGTGTAACTCCCAGCTGTATTGTCCAATCTTCCAGGTCGATAACCGTGTGACTGAAAAGAGAAGTAAAGGGGGAAATTTTGTTATATCTTTAGTATAGTGTCCATGTACATATGTAATTGCCAAAATTGATTTTTGAGGTTATGATCGACCAGAGAATGAAAATAAACCCCAATTTTTTATGCTCCATATGACCGAGGTCTAGGCGATCATAATGTCTAAATAAATTAACAAAAAAGTAAACCCCTGATAAATAGATTTTGGGCTCTAGACAGATAACTATCTATCGAGTACCTTTGGAAGACCTTTCCACTTATCGAAGACATTATGGAAGTCGCAATATATTTTAAAGACATTATTTTCTAAAAGTTTTCTACAGATTGAAGACCTTAAATAGATCTTTTGTAGATAGAAGTAATTCTATATAAAATAACCTTCGGGGAGCATAACTGATTGATGGACGCGTTCAGGGGGGAGAGTCTCGTCTTAAAACCCCCAGGTTCAGTGATCCTTATACTAACGAGACGATGTTTCGGCGCCCCTAAAATTGCCAAACCTCTGTGCTGGTCCCCACGTAAAGAGAATCCCCTAATTCTGTTATGCGACCACGAGCCCATCATTGTTGCAGATTGACAGTCAGGGTACCGACTGCATTCTTACGGAGGTTTGTTGATACCTGCGTGCCTCAACGAATATCAGTTTTAGCTACCGAGTCCTTGCCATGGTATGAAGACCATGTCATGGTAGAGATCAGTCCCTTCACGACGACAAAGAAAAATTTGTTAAATCAAGACCACAATACTCTGACAGTGGACCTAATAAACGATAGTGTAGTCAGACAGCAATTCGCAATCCGACAAATTTTTGCAGATATGGGACCGTTAAGGATGAAAGTCTTTATTGATGAAATGGAAGTGCCACTGAGCTCTCCCGACACCAAGAACGTCAAATCTAAGGAAACGAGGTATAAAAAAGTACATTGGCGAGTAGTAAACTACTGTAGTCGATATGCCGATGGGGATACCCCCAGCTCACCGAAAAGGAGCTGCAGCTTATCACGACTAACCTGAAGCTTGTTAAGAAGTTTTAGAGAACGTATGCTAGCAACACTATGAGAGTTTTCGATAAGGCTCATTTAAATCCTTTCCTAAACACATTCCGCAGGTCTTCATCAGTAGAGTTTTTAGATAATATTTTGTCTTTAAAAGGAATTTGGAATCTCTCTCAGAAGTTAAGAATATTTTGCTACTGATTTCCAACTTTGGAAATATGTCTTTGGTAGACATTAACGAGGTTTTCAAACTATAAGCATTCTAAAATAATGCGTTTCTAGAGGCTTTATTTTTGAAATACCTTTAGAACGACTCGATTTATAAAAAGCCTTTGGAATCGTTGAAATCCCCTCGGGAGGTCTTTTAAACATTCAACCAATGCAGATATTCTATATATAACATTTAAGAAAGTTTTCTATTTATAGTTTGCCATTCTTCCATGAACGCGCAGTAGCCTTTAAAAGGTCTACGGAAGACCGCGTTAGTCTATATTCCGAAGATTTTCTGTTTACATTAACCTTTTAATATTAAGATACCAACCTTGATTAGGCAGGAATAATTCGAATCATATATCATAAACACTTTTCAATCCATTGCCCAAAATTGATTTATTCAAAACTTTTGATAAGAACTCCTTCGAACTTTCTTGTCAATATAATGAGAATCCGTTAGGTCCTACAGAACCTAACTTTTTAGGAAATTTTCTATATATACTTAGCCATTCTAAAGAGCCTTTTATTTATGGAAACTATTCTGAAGAGAGAATATTTATATTCTGGACGTATTAATATTTGATGCCAATATTATTTAGGCAGTACAAATTTGAATCAGATAATCGATAAAAACTTTATAAAATTGTCCCCCCTTTGCTAAATTCCCCTTTCAACTTACTTGCCAATACAATGGGAAGCTGTTAGAACCCACTGATCGGATATCAGCACCCCAGCACAATAGAATATTTTCTCGGGACCACCCAAAATGGCTGCCAGAAAAGGCCAGGAACCAGGATGAGCTTTAGCACCACCAATTATGCGTCGTGACAGCTTACGCCTTGTTCTCTTAACTTTGCCGCATTCTGAAAGACATTCATATTTTTATTATTTTTTCTTTTTTTTCGCAAAAACTCATTGCAGCCCTTACCGAAGTTAGAACAGGTCAACTCAGCAATGGGATAATCTTCGGAACGTGTACAGTTCGAAAACTCCTTAATTAAATTGGATTTCTTTTTGGCGTACATTTTCCAAATGTCTGTAGAGACATTTACCGAGGTCAGCAGTGGACGATGGGTTTTTTGGGTAATGACACTGGTGGCATTCACTGCACTATAGCCCAGCATGGAACAAACGGCCGAGGGTGAGACAGCACGATCCCAATTCTTGACACAGGCCGGGGTCCATTCTTTGCTGTTCATGCGGTAGACCTCTAGGACACCTTTGCCCAAATCACCATTGCGTTCACTGAGGCGGACTGAAATGGTAACAAAAACAAATCAGGTCTAAAAATACCAATAAATCTCCGCATGAAATACTCACTGCAATTCTTTTCATCCTGCCCATAGGGACAGTCCATGACCCCATTGCATATATGATCCAAGGTTATACACTTCCCATTGCCACAAAACACCTCATCTTTGTCACACACTTTGCAGTTCTTCTCATCCGCATGGTCCATGCAATCCAAGTTGCCATCGCACACATACTCCTTGGGCAGACAACGGGTGTTGTCACACTTAAAGCCATCACACTTGGGATTCGCCGAGGCCAACATGACATTTTGCACCTCCTGATAGCCCACACATTCCTCGGGACTTTCGAAATCTTTGAACAGCTTACAGTTCAGGTACTCCGGCAGACTTAGGCCAAACACATCAAAGAAGAAACCACAGCGACGCATTGTTTCCGTGCACAACGACTGACAGGGTGGCACAGTGGCACCCGAAGCACCACATTTCGGTACAAATAAGGTACATAAAAACAACGACACCAGCTCATAGCAACGCACATCCACTAAGGCCTCATAGGCATCCATATCCTAGAATAAGAGAAGTGACGCGACCGGAAAAAGAAGACAAAATCATCAAAATTCTAGATTCGAACAGATGACAACAATTACCACTTGAGTTTCCAGCTGGCCGAAATGGCCAATGTAATTGGGGAACACGGTAAAATTATAGGGTATTTGGGGGCCTTGACAAAATTTCACAATAATCGGTAGACATGTGCCGGGAGCGGGATTTTTACTCTGGGGATCCTCCACATGTACGGTATTGATGATGGTCTTGTTCACAAACTTAATGGTGGGATAGGCCTTGAAATATGCCGCCAAACCTCCAGCAATGGCCAATAGAGCCAAGGCATTTATCAAAATTTGAAATAGGCGGAATTTCAAGCGACCATTGGTTATGTAGGGATTTGAACTCTTACGGCGATTTATGATCTGTGGGGATGGGAAAAAAAAAAAGATTAGAAATTTAGAAATGAGAAAGTCTCAGTATTTCACAAACCTGATGTGGCAAGGACATTGTATTCGGAGCACCATTTTGAAAACGTACTATGGTCTGTAGACTGGCAGGTGTGGAAACACATTTCGTAATCGGTGACATGGGTACATTGTTCTCCATTTCATCGATGGTTTCATTTTGGAATTTCTGCTTAATATTAATGGGTGTAGGTACTGAAAATATGGAGTAAAAAAAGGAAAATGTTTAAATCGTTAGAAATCGTATATTTGGCCTGGAACTGTATTCCCCAGTTCGGCAAGAAATTGCTTATCCAAATGGGGAGTTCAAAAAACAATATCTCTGTATATATTCCTCCACAAAAACCTACATATAGATGGCGTTCCTTACTTCTATGTTAGTGAAGTTTAAAGTTAACGATACATAAACTGCTTTGAATTATGGCGTGGCATAATAATTGATAGGTTATAAAGGTATGTCGGAGTAGTACTCAAATCCTGCCATTGTTTTCCTTTATAATTTTAACATTAATCTGTCATTCTATGATGCCAAGTAGCGTATGTATTGTAATCTTGAATAATCTATATCCCACTTCTAATTGTATTTTTGTGTGTTGCATACCATTAGGCGCTAAAGGATAGATATATGACACTAAAAGATTCAAATTTTACTATGACCCTAAATTCTTAAGAAACAATCCGGGAATAGGGACCCAAAAATCCTACAAGAAAAAAAAATCCACAATAGGGATCAACTTATATTGTAAGGAATGCCCGAATATATCTACTAATTTTGACAAAACCCCTACTAAACTCTACTAATTATAGGAAAAAAATCTAACGCCGACATGTCAATATTAAGGGAGTTATGGCCATTTTAATGTTTTCATTAATTCATGCCTAAAAAAGTGATCACAAATAATAGCTAAAAAACCGAAATGTCATTATTTACGGAGTTATGGCCATTGAAAAGTTTTCATTAATTCATGCCTAAAAAAGTGATCACAAATAATAGCTAAAAACGCCGAAATGTCATTATTTACGGAGTTATGGCCATTTTAAAATTTTCATTAATTCATGCCTTGAATCTACGAATAGGGAAAATTTAATCCTGCAAATAAAGGATTTAATAATTTAGGGAATTCCAATAATAGGGACCTAATGATAGCGACCAAATTCATAAATAATGATCGTAGAAAAAATTCAAGAATAGAGAACTAAAAACCCTAGAAGTTTCCTCGAATAGGGATATTCAGTCTGGATAATCCGAATAAAAAAGAAGTAAAAATCTACAAAAGAAACTTATTTTTGACATATCTAAGAATGGGGAAAATTCAGGTTCAATGGAAAAAATTGAAAAAAAAAACAGGTGAGGGAGAGATGAAAAAACTGCAACCAACTTCAGACTGCTGTCATTTCTAAGCCACTCATCCGATATCAGTTAAAATTATTCCAGTGACAGCTCATTATATTGTTTACAAGCGCACAAAAGCATTTTGGTGTGCATTTTCCAGAAAAAAAGTTATTCGTGATGGAATTCAAGCGTGATAGTGTGATTTCTTTATATTTGGCTGGAAAACCCAAAGTGGCTATCGTTAGAGCACTCCAGCATTTAAATGTGAATAAATCTTTTGGTGTCTCGTACCATCGCTCGTTACCGTGATGCTGGTAGCATAGCCCGACGTCAAGGAAGTGGACGGAATAAAAAAGAGACACATTAGCAGAAATGGTTCGAAAAGTAAAGAAGCGACTTGATCGAAACCCGCGTCGCAGTGGCCGAAAAATGGCTCATGAGCTGAAAATATCGCAATATTCCATTCGACAAATATTGAAAAATGAGCTCGGGGTAAAGCCATTGAAATTCTAAAAAGTGCAAGAACTTACACCGCAACAGAAAGAAAATAGACTCAAAAGAGCTAAAGAGTTGTTTCGCTTGGCCGAAAGTGGTGAACTGCCGAATTTGGTTTTCTCCGATGAGAAAACATTCGATGTCCAGCAGTTTGTAAACAAAGAAACTGATCCTGTTTACTTGCCAAAGAGGTCAGCTGAAAATGGGCACCCTCGATTGGCCACCAGAACTCAAGCGCCGGCCATGGTGATGGTGAGGGCCGCCATAACAGCTGATGCCGCTCTCCGCTCGTATTAATCGACCGTGGCATCAGAATAAATGTTGAATATTATTGCGAAAATATTCTTGAGGGTGTATTAAAGCCTTTGGCACGCAAACATTTTGGCCGCAGACCTTGGAGACCATTTGGCCGCAGACCAAGAGGACTCGGCACCATTGCACTCAGCACGCGCCACCACAAATATGGTGGTTACAAAATGAGGTTCCTCGCTTCATTTCCAGCGCACAATTGCCACCAAAATCTCCAGATACTAATCCTTTGGACTATTGTGTCTGGAGTATTTTGGAAAGCAAGGTTGGCACTAAAAAATACCAAAGTGTCGATCACCTTAAGCAAGCGCTTCGCCGGGAATGGGCCAAAATACTGCGGAGCAACAATCGGGCAGCGTGTGACGGCGGTTTCATTGGCCGTTTAAAGGCCATAATTCGTGCCAAAGGAAGGCAAGGTTGGCACTAAAAAATACCAAAGTGTTGATCACCTCCAGCAAGCGCTTCACCGGGAATAGGCCAAAATACCGCAGAGCAACATTCGGGCAGCGTGTGACGGTTTCATTGGCCGTTAAAGGCCATAATTCGTTGCCAAAGATGACCAATTCGAGCAAATCTAAACTTATTCTAACATTTGATGCTATTTCCGACATTTTTTGTTTTCATTCAATAAAATTAAAAAAAAAGTAAAAATTATGGCTGCAGTTTTTTTTATCTCACCCTGAATATGCACCCTCACCTTAATACTCCTGGAAAAAATATATTTGTTAAAAATCCTTGAATCAGAACCAAACACTTCTCGAAACATATTCTTCCAGATCCCAAAAAAAGGATCTAATTCTCCTCAAAAAAAATATTCTTAAAGATCCACCAAAAGGATCCTCGATTTGTAAAAAAAAACAACGAACAAATCTCTATAACTCCTGAAAAATATTCTAAAAATATTATCCTCAAAAAAATATTCTTAAAGATCTTTTGGTGGACCTCAAAAAAATGTTTGTAAAAAAAAAACACAAACAAATCTCTATAACTCCATGAAAAATATTCTAAAAAAAATTTATGAAATCTTGTTTTTATACCTCTTCAAAAATATTCGTCAAAATCCACAGATTGAAGCCTAATACTTCCCGAAAAATACATTCGTAAGAAAATACTTAAATGAGGACAAAAGTCCCAAAATGTGGAATGAATGAAATCTACTCTTAAAATTTCCAAAAGGCTCAAACACGTCTCGAAAAAATACTCTTTAAAAATCACAAATCCACTTATCGAAAAAAACCCTTGAAGATCGATGAATAGAGACCCCTTTAATATCTAAAGATAGAAACCAGATACCTCTCGAATAAACACACTGACAAATCAATGAATAGGAACCCACTTCACCTGGAAAAATAAACGTCTTGGGACGTAATTCTTAAAAAATATAGCTAAGGGAAATGTGGGCTTATAATCCAAAAAATATTACTGAACTGGGGCCAATAATCCTAAAAAAATCCACAAACCAAATAATTCTTAAAAAAAATATTTTCTAAAAAAATTCTAACAATCCTAGAAAATACTCCAAGAAAGAATATTCCAGAGAAATCCAATCATAGTAACCCTATGTCCCAGATAAAATCTGCTAATGGGAACCTAAAATTCCGAAAAAATTATGTAAACAAATGTAGGGAAAATCCTCATAAAAAGCTATGGATAATCCTTGAATATTTTCATTAACAGATATTTTTGAAAAATCCAGGAATAGAGCCTAATAATCCGGACAAAATATTGCCTTACAAATACCCGAACATATCTCATGACGATCCTGGAAAAAAATATTCTTAAACCAATTGCACGAATTTATCCCAAATTATTTTTCCAAAAAATTTAAATCGATCGAGAGGAGTATAGCAAAAAATATTCCTCTCTTTCTCGGAAAACTTACCATTGCACAACCTTTTCACCGACAGCGATGGCAGCAGTGGCGCTTCCATGATTTTCGTATTATAACCAGGGCTGGAAGTTTGACTGAAGCTATCACTGGATATATTGGAGTCTTGGCGGAAATTGAATTTGTGGCGTGGCGGTACAACGGGACCATTGCTGCCGAAACGTGATGTCGTCATCATGCCAAAGGCATCACTGCTATCCTGATGACGGAGGGCCGCTGCCGCCCCACCACTCTTATTGATGCGCGATGCATTCTGCAGCAGTGGGGCATCCATTAGATTTTTCGAATTATAACCCGGACTGGAGGTTACCGAGAAGCTATCGCTGGACAAATTCGAATCCTGGCGTTGATGCAGTTTTGGGTACTGGATGGGAGGTGGACGTTTGCTGCGATTCAATTGGTTACGTATGTTCATGGGTGGTTGTTGCTGGTGTTGTTGTTGTTTCATTGGGGCCGAGGAATCGTGCATTTCAAAGTTTTGTACTCTGGCTGGTGGTATGGGTGGACGTTTCTGTTGTTGAGCTGTATTGTGTTGCGGCGGTTGTGACTGCAGTTGCTGTTGGGTTGCAGGAGGTGCCAAGGGTGAGTTGCCTGAACCAGAGGCCGAAATAGACATCGACGAGCCCGTTGAAATACTGGAACCTGCCGATGCTGTGGACGATGTTGAGGTTGAATTGGGCACCGTGGAGCCACCCTTGTTGCTGGAGTCGATACTATTGTTAAGCGATTGCTGGGACTGACTTTGGTTGCCCAGCTTTTGCTGCCCACCACTCTGCTGCTGCTGTTGCTTGGCAGGTGACACCGATTGTGATTGTGGCATCTGGCCAGTTTTACGCTGAGCACGTACCGGTACTATGGGCAACTTATTGTTGCTGTTGTGGCTCATCTGCTGGATATTGTTGTTGTTTGCTGCCATATTCGCTGCTGCTGTGGCTGTGACTGTTGTCTGTTGGCCATAGGTGACGGCATTCATTTCATTGTTATTCAAATTTAGCATCACCTCGTTTAAATTCATCGAACGTTCCATTTTAAATGACTCCTTGGCCAGCGGTGAATCAGCGGAGGTTTTCTCCGTTAGACAACTGTCGAGCGATGACTGAGTATCAACACTGGAGAAGCGACTACGAAAATCAGCTGTGGTCGAGGTGGATGCCAGACGTTCGCTGTGCGAACCATAGCCAGACGATGAGGTAATGCTCGAGTCGACGGTGCTGCTGGACGAGCGATTAGAACGTTTGAGTGCCGTGCAAACGTCTCCGGTCAGGGCTGCCAGGGTTTTGGCAGCCAAGGTGCCGTTGAATAGTTTACTCGAGGAGTTATGTGATAGCTTGACGGGCGTGGAGTTCAATGACTCTTCGAACACTGAATTCTCCAGACTCATGCGGTCATCGTCGGATAGACCACCGGTGTCGTAACCTGTAACACTGCCACCATCCGAGTATGCGGAGCGTGCATTCAAGTCAACAAACAGATGGCCGCCAGACGTATTTGTCAACGGATTATTGGCTTCGATGTTTGTATTGGCATAATAACCTGCAGCCGATCCACCACCTGTCGCCCGTCCCGTGGAGGGCAAATTTTGCAATGGAATTTGGGGATAGACGAATGCAGTGCCACTAGTTGTGGTTTGCTGTTTGCCCTGTTTGTTGGGTGTCTGGTTGAGGGATGCAGCCGATGAGGGTGGTGTGGGTTCACCACAGGAATCGACTCCACCGTTCGATGAAGCAATGCTGCCACAGCTATTCACCGAATTCCAGGTAAATTTTGAGTGGAATGTTCGTTTGGGTATGGGAGGGGGTGTAGCTGTAGAATTTGATGCTGACGAGGTCTGCTGCTGAAGTTGGGGTTGTGTTTGTTGTTTGTGTTGTTGTTGTCTGTTATTTAGGCTGGGTACAAAATCGGAATTTTGTCTGCTCTTGACTGGCGTAGCTGTTGTATTCACCTGGATTTTCGTAAAACACAAATATCGTCAAGAGGTGGAGAAAAGGGGGAGAAAGAGAGAATGCATAAATATTATTATTTACACAAGAATATAATGCGAATAGTAGTGACATAACAACAACAGCAAAGAAATATTTTGAGTGTAATCATGCTTACAGTGCAGGCAATTTGTATAGGTACAGCATGCTTATATATAAGTAGATATTTAAATATAAAGGTTGAAATCAAAATAAATTATGAGTACAATTTTTTATGAGGAACTGCATAATTTATCGTAATATATAAAATAATTTTCACGAAAAAATAATTTATTAAGAAATTATAATAAATTAAAAATAATTGTCATGAAAAAAGGTAATCGATAATTGGATTAGTAAAAAATATTTTATAATACATTCGATTTTTGTAGAATGAACATATGAAAAATGAAACTTTTCTAGTTACAACCAATACTCAACCGGGAAGCTTAAAGTAGTAGGTGAATGACTCCAAAAGAGAGGGGAGGTAACAGCTGGTAAAAAAAAAAATTAAAGCATACCCTGAGGCGTTGTATGTGTATTTAAAGGCATTAATTTACGAAATGGTACAAAAAGTAGCAAAATGTACAAAGAAGCAAGTTAAAAAGTATCTGTCGGTTTTGCCGACAGATGTATACCCTCACATGTATAGCCTCAGACAAAATTACAAGAAAATCGAACATTTATATCCAATTTTATGCGAAATCATAAATTCCATATTCATCTCAGGTTTTTGGTTGAGGGAAATATTTAGATATGGCAAGTTGTTAAGCATCGCTAACTTGTTTCGCAAGTTATGACAGATAAAAGTATTGAAAATTGTGACCCTGTTAATTTCGTTTTTTTATGACTTTAATGGATATTCAAAATTTTGAGCCTTTGTGGGAGAGGTACCAGAAGGAGAGGGCCGATATATTCCATCTTCATAGCAGATCTTGTGTTAGTAGAAATAATGGGATGTGTGAAATATGAAGAGAAACGAATGCTTATTTCGGATTTTATGATCGTTTTGGTTATTCAAAACTTTGAACCTTTGTGGCGGAGGTACCAGAAGGAATGATCTGATCTCAACTAACCTTATAACATGTCTTGTGTTGATAGGAATATTGATATGTACCAAGTCTAGAATGAATTCGGATGTTAATTTCACTTTTAAGGAGCTTCATGGATATTCAAAAGTTTGATCCTTTGTGGGAGAGGTACCGCAAGGAGTGGACTGATATATTCCATCTTCACAGCAGATCTTGTGTTAGTAGAAATAATGGGATGTGTGAAATATGAAGAGAACCGAATGCTTATTTCGGATTTTATGATCGTTTTGGTTATTCAAAACTTTGACCCTTTGTGGGGGAGGTACCAGAAGGAATGATCCGATCTCCACCAACTTTCTAACACATTTTCAGATGTGTCAAGTCTGAATGAAATCGGGTGGTAATTTCGCTTTTTATGAGCTTCATGGATATTCAAAATTTTGACTCTTTGTGGGGAAAATACCAGAAGGAGTGGACCGATATATCCTATAATTTTACCAGACTTTGGGTTAATAAAAATATTGTGATTTGTGTAATTTGAAGACAATCGGGTTGTTACATCACAATTTAAGAGAGTTATAATTATTAAAAATTTTGGCTCTTTGATCGATATTGTTCATTTTCGCACCTGACCTAGCTCTGATGTGAACAGTAGGATTTGCAAAGTTGGAGCAAAATTTGATTATTCTTTCTCTTTCTGCGCTGTAAAATATTTTTTTTAAAACTTCGACATTTAGTGGGGGAGGTACCAGAAAGAGTGAACCGACATTGCCCATCTCCTAACTCGTTCTAAGTTTGATACTTGTATTACGATGCACCAAGTTTGAATCGAATCAGATACTGTCTTCTAGAGTTTATGTGTAGCCTGGACACATGGAGGTGGTTTCGGAAATTTGTTCTATATTTGTACGAAAAGTACCCAATGGTACTAAATTAGGTTTTGGTTGAAGGGATAGAGAAAAAAATCCGAAATTTGATATTTGGATTACTGATGGTATCTGCGTTTGATATATGGAGGCGGTTTTGGAAATGTGTACTATAATTGTACGAAAAGTATTGTATTTGGTACAATTTTTTATTAGGTAAACCTACATATAGCGCTTAAAATCTGTACATTGGTATTATGGTCGCTTTTCATGTGTAGCCTGGACATATGGAGGCGGTTTTGGGATAGAGATAAAATTCTGAAATGTTGTATTTAGATTACTGATGGTGTCTGTGTTTTAGATTTGGAGTCGGTTTTGGTAATTTAATTGTACAAAAAGCACAAAATAATACAATTTGGTATTGGGTGAATATATAGAGCTTGAAATCTGAAATTTGGCTTTAGGATCGCCTGAACATATGGAGGTGGTTTCAGAAAAGTGCACTATAATTGTACGAAAAGTACTAAATGATAATACATTTGGTTTGAATTGAAGGGATAGAGATAAAATTATAAAATATGATTTTAGATTACCAAAGGTATTTTTGTTTGAAATTTGGCGGTGGTTTGGAAACGTGTCATATATTTGTACGAAAAGTACTAAATGGTACTACATTTGATATTTTGTAATATAATTTGATATTGGGGTATCTGTTGGTATCTGTGATTGAGATATAAAGGTGGTTTTGGAAACTGGTTCTATGATTGTACGAAAAGTACTGAAAGGTACTAAATTTGGTATTAGGTAAAGGGATAGAGAAAAAATTCTGAAATTTGATATTTTGATTACTGATGGTATCTGTGTTTGAGATATGAAGGTGGTTTTAAAAATGTGTACCAAAAGTGCATGAAAAGCATTAAATAGTACTGTATTTGGTACTTTTTTGGTATTGGGTGAACATATAGTACTTGAAATCTGAGATTTTTTATTATCGACGGAAACATGAACTATAATTTTACGAAAAGTACCAAATGTGACTAAGGGATAGAGAAAGAATCTGAAATTTGATATTTAGATTACTTATGGTATCTGCGTTTGAGATTTGGCGGTGGTTTGGAAATTCGTCCTATATTTGTATGAAATATACTAAATGGTACTAAAGGGTTCTGTTGGTATAGCGAATTGAGATATGGACGCGATTTTGGAATTGTTTCCTATATTTGTACGAAAAGTACTAAATGGTACAAAATTTGCCATTGGATAAAGGGATAGAGCTGCAATCCTGAAATTTAATGTGGATACCACTCTTGGTGTTCGTGGTTAAGATATTAAGGTGGTTTTTGGAAATGTGTTCTATAAATGTTCGAAAAGTACTCCGTGGTACTAAATGGGGTATTCTGTAAAGGGATGGAGCTGGAATCCTGAAATTTGATATGGATGTTACTGTTGGTGTCTCTGGTTGAGAGAAGGCGGGTATGAGTATGATAATTGTATTAAATGGTACTAAATATGGTAATGGGGGAAACTAAGAAGCTAAAATCTGAAACTTGATATTAAGATCAGATGTCACTGTTGGTGTCGGTTGTTAAGGTTTTGGAAATGTATGCTATAAATGTTCGAAAAGTACTAACTGGTACTAAATTGGGTATTGGATAAATGGATAGACCTGGAATCCTGAAATTTGAAATGGGCATCACTGTCACACTTTTCGATATACTTACTATAATTGCACTAAATGACACTAAATTTGGTAATGGGGGAAAATTAAGGAGCTGAAATCCTGAAATTTAATATTAAGGTCACTGTTAGTATCTGAGGTTGAAATATAGAGCTGGTTTTGGATGGGCGTACTATGATTGTATAAGGTACTAAATTTGGTAATGGGGGAAATTACAGATCTGGAATCCTAAAATTTGATATGGATGTCACTGATAGTATCCAGGATGGTACTAAATTTACCGTTGAGTGAATGGAAAGAGCTTGAATCCTGAATTTTGAGGTTAAAATTGAGGTTACTGTTGGTTTCTAGCATTAAGATATGGTGGTGGCCAATTTTTATTATTGAAATACGTTGGTCCATTAAATAGGTCCATTTCGTGATGGTTTTATTTATATTCTCCTCGGTAAACTTCAAAATAAACAATTTTGAATATTTTTGTGGATCAGAACGTAATCAGTTTTTTTTTGATTAGGCTTTTCGATAAAGAAAAAAAATTAACAGGAATAAATTGTTATCGAACTGGAGCAGCTGAAAAATTAAATAGATGTATGAAGTTTTATTGGGAATTTTGTCCAAGTCATTATTTCTTGGAAAATTGTGCATTTTTAGTACTAAAATGAACTGGTGATGAAATCTTAAATTTTTCGTCAAAGATATAGTGGGAACTTGATAGTCCTTTTATATGAATATAGAGATATTTATATATAATATACTAAAGAGTATTTTCCTTTTTTGGTTTAAAAAATGTGGAGAACGCCAGCAAGTATGCTGTAAAAGTACTAAAAAAATAAAGGTGGAGAAAGTCAGTATTCATATAATTCTAATGCGATGTGTAAACTGGCTTTTAGGAATTACGTAGTTATTTCACCCGAGCCCATTTTTTCCATGATGGAAGGTCTAAAATGCTATTGTTCTCAATAATATTTTCGTAACATCCTATTATATTGATAAGAAATGTCTGGTCACTTCAGTGTTGTGACCTTGCGTTCCTATTTCAATTTCGTACAGTTTATGAAAAAAAAAATGAAACAACACCCAAAACATGAAATATGAAAGAGCAGAGAGAGAAATTCCATTACATTCTGCTGACTAAGTTCCAACAAAATATTATTATTTACGTTGCACAGAAGCTATTTGCAGTGGCTGTGCTGGGCTAGGCTGGCTAGGCGAAGCACTTTGGCAATGGCTGCCTGGATTAAAGGCTGCAAACTTGGTGACTTGTCTCAAAATTAAATATGAATGTTATCACAAGGTTTAGGATTTGTGTAATGTCAGCAAATAAAACGAAAAAAATACCCAGCAAACAATTTTAGAAGAAAGGTTTTGGAAAAAATTGAAGTATTTTTTTCCAGGTGTTAATGATAAAA